GTTGCATAGCTGTTGCTGCTCCGGTGACTTCAAGGTACATCTGCCCGCGTCCACAGACCTCGGAGTCCCCCTCTATCTCTTTTTGTGTTGTTCTCCCTTAACTCCTCTAGATACTGATGTATAGAACATTTAGACTAATCTTTGAAGCTTGTGACTTATGGTGTTCCGGGTCTAGGGAGAGTTTATGTGTATATTGAGAGTTGGTTATTGTATATGCCAAGCGACATCTCTATCATTTATTTGAATATCTGTTATAGCTAGTTGTCGAATTTATGTTTTCATTTCATTATTCCGCAATGTTAGGCTTACCTAGTCGTAGACACTAGGTGCCGTCACGACATCTCATGGAGGAAGGATTTGAGTCGTGATAATAATTTACATACATGTAATAAAGATCATAAAGGGTAGATTATGCAAATCTTTTTGCAAGTAAATAATCGTGAAATACAGTGTGAGTCTTGTTCATAAAGGGAAAAATAACAGAGAAACAAGAGGGAACATTTTCTTCTTCTTTTCTTTTGTGCTGGGTTTTCTTTTATTCAATCTTTGTTGTTTCTGCTCCTAGTTTGTACTAGAAGAGCTTGTTGAATCCTGGGGGATACACCTAATTTTATTTATTACAGTGTGAGCGAAATATCCTTAAGGACAGTGTCCTTAACACGCTTCAAGCTAAACTTTTTATTCTCCATAATTAACCAATTTCCAACAATCTTAAGGATATTTCACACTCTGTTCTTATGGAGAATACTGATTGCAATATTTCGACCGATGCTCCAACACATGATGCACAGAATATTTCAGCTATGGTTCTAATTTGACCCAGCAACATATCAACTTTTTCATCCATCTTCTTTTCTTCAAAGCAGATGTCACAACTTGGCAAGGATTCTGAGTCACACCATTATTTGGAGACATTGGAACATTTGGTGTTGATGTTCCTCTTGAATATTATTCTAGTATGGTCTCCAACCTAATTATTGAGAACTTATATTTTAGAATAAATGAGAGCATGCTTTTGCGAGGACACGAGAGAGTAAACTAAGATTTATTAAGATTATATCATTATAAGATTTACTAATATTATATCATTATATATTTTGAGATATTACATAAATTTACCACACCAAAGTGTTGCAACAAGCATTTGGTGTTATTATCTACTGTTGATGTGGTTAAATTTATTGTACCGTTGAATTTTCAAATGTTTTATTTGGTTTATTTTGAAGAGAATTAATCAAGAGTATTGATTTGTATTAGTTACAATTAATGGATTTTCTATGAGAAAAACTAGTAAAACTCCTTACGAGTTGCGGAGAGATTACTCTTTAACCTGAAATATTTGAGTGGGGGGGGGGGGGGGGTCTTGCGCGAGTTGCATGATCCTAAGAAAAAGAAAAAATGTGAGAAAAAATTATTTATTAATGTTATAATAAAGCCTTACAAAATTGAAATTTTTTGTGGCAAAAATTTATATTGGAAGATTAAAAATATATTGTATTTCTGGCTTTGAAAAGTTATGTTGCTTCGGATCTCTTAGTCATTTGGGTGAAAAAATCGTTGAATTATGACCAATTTCCTACTGATTTGAGATATTTCTGTAGAAGATAAAATTGCTTATATATTTAGAAAATTTTACTTTGGTACTTGACTATGGAAGATACAAAAAGAGAATAAATTCCTATGTGTTGATAGATGTTTCAAAAGGCACTTGCATGAAAATCAAGTTTCATTTCATTTGAGATGATTTTATGCCTTACTTGAGAAATATTATGAGTTAGTATTCTATAAGTAAATTTTTCACTATATTAGAAGGATACCGTGATGATATTGAATCTTTGGTTCAGATGAGAAAAATACAATAGTGATTGTGTGATCACCTTTTGATAGAGCCGTCAAAATGGGCTTGGACCATGAGGCCAACCCAACCCAGGCCGCTACTTGGGTAGGGCTGGGTTGAGATTGTTTTAGCCCATTTAAAACTGAGGCTTATAAGCCTGGCCCAAGTCAGCTAGCTGGCCCTTGAGGCTTGACAGAGGCTGGGTCTGGGCTAGCCCTTGGGCCAAAAATTAATTCAATTCATATTTAAATATTTTAAAAAAAATAAAAACTAAAATAATATTAACTATAATCCACATTTTCCAACCTTATAATTCTCATTTATCCTTCCATATCAACTAGAATTTATATTTTTGATATGCATGTAGTATGACAAGATTAGTTTTCCTTTTGCTTAATTAACAACGAACTAGGAAAGCTTTAAGTGGCCAATAATATTTTTTTTCAAAAGAAAATATTACTTTAAGTGGCAAATGATCAGTTTGGTTACTTTAATATATTATTAATTATTAAATTGCTCTTCAATATAGGAAAAGGTCAAGTTTTAATACCCAAAGAAAATTGAAAAACACTAGCAAATTTCATGAATTTTAAAATTTTCATGGACTATAATGATGAAATCAACAAATAATGTTAAACCCTAATTAAAAAACCTTAACATATAAACTTATCAAAGCAATTCCTGAATCTAAGAAAAGTGAAAGAAAAGTACTAAAAAAAAATATTCATGTAACGTTAAAAAAAAGAAGAGCTAGAGATATAGAGAATTTGCATTTCAATTACGAGATTCCTTATCAAATATCAAGATTCTTGTACACTCTAAATAAACAGAAGTCGTTCATATGATTAAGAGATTATGTCATGAAAAAATATCTAAAGATTTGAAGAAATATTTTTTTCTAAAAAAGTTGAAGGGGAGGCCCGCCCTAGCCCGCGGCCCTCTTAGGGCTGGGCTGGGCTGGCCATTTTAAGGCCCATATAGATGGAGGGCCAGCCCGCTCTAGCCCACCAAATTTAGAAGCCCACGAAGCTTGGGCTGGGTTAGGCTGAGCTAGCTCTTTTTGACAGCTCTACCTTTTGATGGGTGTTATGGTATTAAAATTGCCTGGAAGTGAGGTTGATTAAGCAACCTCTTGGTGAGTTAAACTGACAATAATTATGTCGATAAATTGTGATTGACAATCCGCAATAGCCATTGTAAGAAAATAAATCTTTCAATGGGAAGAGTAGATACATTCTTTAGAGACATAATGTGATATAGTAATTGCTTAGAGATGAGATTTTTTTTATACATATTATGTGTAGTCAAAAGAGGATTTAGCCGATCCTTTGACTTATAAGTGAAACATCGAGGGGTTGAGGCTTTTGTTAATTTGATATATATCAACAATGATGGTAACCCAACCTATGTGATTGGAGATCCCATGAAGCATGTTCATATGGGTAATAACAAGTAATTAGTTGATCAAACATGCACTATTAAATTGTATCTCTTCCTATGGTGTATGTGTATATAGTGCAAGACGGCAAGGAATGTGAGACTGAATTATTCCTCTTAATCTAATCCATAGCCTTTTATATGTGGTGTATTGAGCTGCAGAATACATTGATGGATGGACCTATATGAGTGTGGAGTGGGGCCGCTCCTATGGAAATTATGGCAAAAAATTTCTAGAGCACTAATGAAAACCAGGCGCACGCCTGGCCTATTAGTGTAAAACCGCGATAACAGCAGAAATTATTGGAGTGTAATATGATCAATATGATCCTTAGCTTACAATAATTTTTGGTTCATAAGAGTTATCAACTTCTCCAATTATTTCGTAGTTAAATATTATTTTATTTATATCTGGTTCATAGTCTTTAAGACACCAGATGAATTTTATTATACCCGAAACCCAGTAAATTATCTCACTTTCTTTATTTATTTACTATTTATTTTTTATATCCCCTTTGAGATATGTGAGGGATTGTTGAAAAATTAGTGGTATCTCAAAAGGTAATGTCCATCTTGGTTTGGAAAATCTTTTCTCGTTGAAATGTTATTTATATCTACTTATTATTTAGTAAGTTATTTTACAATTAATAGAGTCAAACTAGCCGTTAACTAGCCATTATCTAGCCGTTGGAGCAACACCTATATAAACATGGTCTTTGAAGAGCTAAAGACACACTTTCTAACATAACTTTCTGAATCATCTTCTTCCTTCTATATGCTGGGTTTCATTTTTGAATTTTCTGTTAGTTCTGTTCTCAGTTTAATAACTGCAAGAGCTTGTTGAATCCTGAGAGATACGCCTAATTTTATTCTTTATTATGTAGGTGAAATATCCTTAAGGACAATGTCTTTAACACGCCTCAAGCTAAATCTTATTCTCTATAATCCAATATTTTTCCAACAGTTATATGAAAGAAAAAATAGTAATCAGATAATTTAGAACATTCAGAAAACAATTAAGAGTCACATGTAACATGTGTTTAGAGAAAGTATCAGTAATACTAAAGGAAGCATATTAGTAATTATAAATAAATGTTAAAGTAAGTGATAAAATATTATTTGATAGTACAACCAGTCAAAATTAATAATAATTTAATATATTGTTTATAAATTTTATAAAAATGTAACTTGATAAATATTTTTATATCTATCAACTTGAAAAAGTAATACTCCTTCTTTTTCAATTTATGTGAAGTTGTTGACTTAACAGTTTAAGAAATAAAGCAAGAATTTTAATAGGCGTTTGGACATAAAAAATAATAATTTTAAAAATATATAGTATTTGGATTTAAGTCGAAAATGATATTTAAAATTTAAAATTATGTTTGGACATGCATTTCACTTGAAAAAAATGTTGCAGTTGTGAGTGGCGAAAAAACTTTTTCTGAAAATTTGAAAAACTCATTTTCGGAAAATCTTCAAAAAGTTGCAAAATTTTATGGACAAAACAAATACGTTTTTTTAATAAAAAAAATCAGAGAAAAAAATCTATGGACAAATGGGTGCTTAATATTTCTGATCTAAATAAATTACAAATATTTTTGTGCCTCTAAATTATTTTATTAATGATAAAATAACAAATTCAAATTAACTTATTTAAAAATACAAAGATGTTTAAGGATGGACAAAAAGGAAAATAATCGCATAAATTGGGACCGATGCGAGTAGTAGCATATAAATTACTTAGAAGTTAGAAGAGTGCACCATTACACCTCCTGACCTCCGTAGAAATTTTGAAGGCAATCGTCGCTTTCATCTTCCCTAAAAACGCCATGGACAACAACCCTCACCAATCGCCGACAGCTGCTGCAGCTGCGGCGGCTCAGTCGGCACCATATCCACAGCAAACACCATACCACCACCTCCTCCAACAACAACAGCAACAGCTCCAAATGTTTTGGACTTACCAACGCCAAGAAATCGAACAAGCCAACGATTTCAGAAACCACCAACTTCCCCTCGCCCGCATTAAAAAAATCATGAAAGCCGACGAAGACGTACGCATGATCTCCGCCGAAGCTCCAATTCTCTTCGCCAAAGCGTGTGAACTCTTCATTCTCGAACTCACGATTCGTTCGTGGCTTCACGCCGAGGAAAACAAGCGCCGAACTTTACAGAAGAATGACATCGCTGCCGCGATTACTCGTACCGATATATTTGATTTCCTCGTTGACATTGTACCTAGGGATGAGATTAAGGACGAGAGCGGCGTTGTTGGGCTTGGGACGGGAATGGTGGGCCCCTCTGCTAGTGGTGTGCCATATTATTATCCTCCATTGGGCCAGCCTACTCCTCCGGGTGGAGTGATGATGGGTAGGCCTGCTGCTATGGCTGGGGTTGATCCGTCGGCTTTTTATTCCCAGCCGCCGTCGCAGGCGTGGCAATGGCAGACAACAGAGGATAATTCATATGCTAGTGGTGGAAGCAGTGGACAGGGTAACCTTGACGGTCAAACGTAAGGGTTTCAATTCTGTTATATGTTTATTTGGTTCCATTTCAGATCTGATTTTTTAGCTAGGGTTTGAAATGTTAAGATTGGGAAATGAAAATGCTTTATTTGTTCTTTTCCGTGAGGATTTAGAGTTAGGAATATTAGCTTCAATTAAATAAATAGATAAAAAAACCTGCAAGTACTGAATATTGGAACAGAATGGATGTCGAGCCAACCTCGAGCTAGGGCTAATCCCCACGAAAGGGAAAAAAAAGAGCCGATGCCAACTGGTTTGGAATTAAGGCATAGTTGTTGCTGCTGCTGCCGCAGTCTTGTATGTTGAAGAAGAATCAATTTAGGGCAGTCAGTACCATATTGAGCAGCTACATAATGAGTAATAAAATTTGTGCAATCTTTAGTTGATGATGTGCATGTGAGATGTTTGTAGATATTTAAATTAAACGCATACTTATATTTTTCCTTAATCATGTTTGTGTGTTGGAGGAAATGATTTGACATAATAATTGTAGGTATCTGTAATTGGATCAACAGATCTTCCCTCAACATGTGTCAATAGGATTTCTAGCATTTCGAAAGAAACTGGAGAGAAAGAGAAACTTCACCTCATTTTGGATAGTTTAAGGTTGTGTTTAAAATCTTAATTTGAAGTTCCTTCCAAATAGGATGCTATCTTAACTAAAGCCAAAAGGAAAAAAAATCTAAACTTTTAAAGGGAGCAAGCATGATTCAACTTAGATCCTCACTGAAACCTGGTCCAGATTGCACAGGCTGTGGTGAGATTGTTATGATCAGCAATTCATTTGAATTCCAATTCAGACTGCAAATGGTTGTTCTGGGTTCATGTAATTGCTTACTTCCTCCTTACGCTTCGTTCAGATTACCTGGTTTCGTTGAACGATTGCTGACTCGTGTCATTTCGTAGCAATCAAGATATACATGAACCACTCTGAGGTTACCATTTGAGCAATTAATTAAATGTTCTGACTTCTCAGGCTCAGATCTATATTGCATTAATTACTTCTAAAACGACTTTATGTCCAGTTTTGAATTATATGATCCAAATCATTTATCCATTGTTTACACACCAAGAAAAGAGATCCTCTTGATGTGACAAGTAATTAGGAGGTAAAGATAACTCTTGTGGAGGGACTGAGAAGGGAAAGAGTGATGACACAGGAATGGAGGGAAGCAAAATGCTGTCAAGGGAAATGAACATTTTTATATTTTGGAGGTTAAAAGCGAAACAGTTTCTCTTGCAAGGAAAGCTTATTCCTGTGTTAAGATCTGTAAGTAGCTGTCTAGTAATGGTTATTGAGAAAGGGATGTTAAGATGATTGACCAATGTATAAACAAAAGGATTTTGAAAAGATCCATGCAAACTTAGGAATCTAGAGCAGGACTATCTTGTATGTCTCTTGTTTAAATAACTAGGTAAGTTTTAACTTGTGAGTCAATCATTTTTCAGTCCCTTGGATTTTGGCAGGTTCAGAAAATTTGGATGGTGAATAGAAAGTGTGGATTTCCTAAAAATCTATTGTAGATTAAATTAGTTTCGATGGACTGGGAATCCAAATTGTCTTTATTTTCAGTCTTGTTTTCATTTTACGGCTGCAAGTAGAGATTCTTATAAAATCTTCTTTGAAAAATGAATAAATGTTAGTTTAATTTCAGTTGTAACCGGAAAGTGTAGGAAGTAACCAAAAGAGCAAGGGAATCTCGCGCTAGAGCAAATAGTCAGACAGTAGTTGATCATATTCTCGGAAATGCTTGTTCTTAACACGAGTATGATTTTCTTTCTAGCTTTTTCCTCTCTTGGCCCATCCTTTTTCTGGGGTTTTGAATGATCTGAATAAAGAGAGGTGACCCCCAAAAAAAAAAAGAGTAAATGGGACTGGGGATAAAAAACTGTAGTAAATGTGTGAGGAATAGAGGAACGAAAAGCTGCCAAGGGAGCTGCTAAAGTTGCAAGTTTTGGCAATGAGGTAGAGCACTCAATGGGCTAAGTTGACCCTATTTCGTTCACCAATGCAAGAGATACATGGAGTGGAGGCCTAGATTTTTTGGATTAAAGAATATTAGTAATCTTTATTAAATAAAGATTATGTAAGTAGTAACCCACACAAATATAATGATTACCTGTAGTTGGTTATGTTAGTAATTTGTTACAATATAAAGGTTGAATTCTATGTAGTCGAGCCTAAACTTGTCTATTCTCTCTTTTTCCTATCACTTATTAGTGTTCAATTAAAAACACATTTATGAAACTGGGGCCAGTATATCCTTTTCTTTATAAATAACAGTTTTTATTCGTCTTTCTTTGGTAATCCCTGGTTGAATACATTTGCTTTTTACCGGACAGGTTTCTGCCTCCAGTTTGATCAATGTATTTTGAGCTAAAATTGCTTTGCAACTCATATTCATGAATGGGATCTCATTGGTGATGACTTCATCTCATTCTTGGCATGTCCCAAGTTATTGTTTCGTATCATGCATCTTGGTTCTGAAGTTGAAATATGTTGCCTACACTATAGGGATACCTGCAATGGACGCCAAGGTTTATGCGGTCACATAATTTGCTTTTGGTTCTCACAATTCTATCTGTTTGTAGTTTGTAATTTTGCATTATGATTTTACTTAATTGGCGTAGCGGCAAATATAATGTTTTGTAGTATTCATGATTTATGGGTTTCTTAGTATGATCTGCTTCAGGATCTAAAGACCCTCCCATCCATATTGTCCAACAATTAAATCTTAGTGCTAAATTTATCCCATTTCCCTTGCTGCAGTTAAAAGATCTCGTCAGCCGCTGGTTTGGAGGCTTAACAGCACAAGTACAACTAATGGTTATGGATGCGGCATGTATTTCTTCTCTCAAATGTGAATCCACCTTTCTGCTACTGTCCATGGGTACCGTAACGACCTGAATCCTTTTCTGTATAAAACTTCAATCTTTTTGCGCTTCCTGGATTTGACTCATCAAAATCTTTTGTGGTTACTAGTTGTTAGTGCCATATAGATTCACATGCAGCTGTGTTGGTTCCTAATTACTACTTAATTTCTTTCTGAACTTTTAATTCTTTGCGTAGTGGTCCTGTTATCATGCAATTTTTAGGAAGATGACAAAAGCTTGATAATATGCCTACAGAGATGTCAAGTCGTCTTCCCCCCCCCCCCCCCCCTAGTCAGTTGGGTTATATGACTTATTTGGCACAATGATGGGCACTCAAAATATACCTTTCACTGCCTCTGCTCGCTGTGATGTAACTGAAGTTGCCTTCGCTTGTATCCTATTATGTGCATACTTGTCGTTTGGTTGGGAAATAAGTTATCCCATGATTAATTATATTGGGATTAATTATCCCACCCTTCTATAGGGATAAAAAATCACTACAGTCCTGGGATAACTAATCCCAAGATTAGTTATACCACGATTTTATCCCAACCAAATGTGGGATAAACTCATTTCAAATTTAATCTCGAGACTAATTATCACTTATCCCTCGTACCAAACGAGCCGATGGTGTACTATAAGATTAGTTTATAAGGGTGAAAGGAGGTGAATGCATCAAGTCTTGTACATCATATTATAACCAGAAGTAGCAGGCACCAGAAGAACTTGAGTGTTAATCTTTAAAAAAGCACGGAATAAAGAAGACGATCCAAGTTACAAGTATATTAGAGGTTTTGCACATACGGTCCAATTCATTACTTTGATTTACTTTCGTATTGCCACTACAAGGATGAGACAAAAAAGCGTATATTTAATTTAAGTTACAATACGTTCCAATAAAGGATCATAATTCTCCTTCATAAAACCTTGAACACTTTCATTTGACAACTTGAATATTTGATTGATGTTCCCAACAGATGTCGCTTCAGTGAAACTATCCGAAACCTAAATGCCAACTTTTTGGACTCAAAACACGTTTCTATAGTGTAAAAAAAAAGTTACTTTTCTATATAAAACGCGGTACAATATCGCGTTTTACCTTAACGGCCGTTTGAACCGTTAAGTAAAACGCGGTACTGTACATATAAAATGCGATTTTTTACCACGATTTATATAAAATGTGGTATTGTACCACGTTTTACTACCAGAATTTGAGGGAATCAACTATTTGTCAGTTGGTCATTTGTGAAAGCCTAAATAATAGGATTTCTTCTAAACTTTATTTGTCTTTTGCCTTCTTTAACTTTCGTAACTTATATATTTTAAAACTATGTAAAGTAGTATAAATAAAATTGTTATTCTTTTATTAAAAAAATTATTAAACAAAGAAAAGTATTTGACAATAGTTTTTTTTTAAAAACTAGTTGATTGCTTTATGTACTTTTTCACATTGTAATTTTATTTTTGAAAATTTTAGGAATGGGTGTCTAAATTTATGGGGTCAATTGGTTTTTTGGCTCTTGACAAACTTGTTTTTAGTTTTTTGACCCTATCTGTTTTTTTTTACACACGGGAGATTTATTTTTACACGTAAGAGATCTCTCTTTTACACATAAGAGATCTAAAAAGGTCATTTTCTTAAATTCAAAATTATAAAGGGGCAAGATGTACAAATAGCACGAATTATTGGATCAATTGATTTTGTAACTCTTTACAAATTTATTTTTAGTTTTATGAACCCTAACTCTTTATTTACATATGAGAGATTTAGTTTTACACGTAAGAGATTTGTCTTTTATACATAAGAGATCTAAAAAAATATTATTTTCTTACATTATAAATTGTAAAGGAACGGATTCAGACGGGCCAATTGGTTTTGTAACTCTTTACAAATTTACTTTTAGTTTTATGACCCTAACTCTTTTTTTGCATATGGGAGATTTATTTTTACAAGTAAGAGATTTGTCTTTTATACATAAGAGATCTAAAAAATATTATTTTCTTACTTTATAAATTGTAAAGGAACGGATTCAGACGGGTCAATTGGTTTTGTAATTCTTTACAAATTTATTTTTAGTTTTATGACCCTAACTCTTTTTTTTACATATGGAAGATTTACTTTTACGCATAATAGATCTGTCTTTAACACATACGAGATCTAGAAATATCATTTTCTTAAATTATAAGGGAGCATGGTATACAAATAGCACCTGAATTTATACTGGAAATTAAATTCATTCATCTTTGTATTCTAAACTTTGTCAGTTTCTTATATATAGAACAGAGAAAAGTATTAATTTTTCAAAAAAGAAGTTACTTTTTTGTTATTGAATTAAAAAAGAAGTTAATGTGAAAAAGTATATAAAGCAATCAACTAGTTCAAAAAAAAAACTATTGTCAAATACTTTTCTTTGTTTAAGAATTTTTTTAATAAATAAATAACAATTTTTATTTATACTACTTTACATAATTTTAAAATATATAAGTTACGAAAGTTAAAGAAGGTAAAAGACAAATAAAGGTTAGAAGAAATCCTATTATTTAGGCTTTCACAAATGACCAAACTGACAAATCGTTGATTCCCTCAAATTCTGGTAGTAAACGCGGTACAATGCCGCGTTTTATATATTAACGGTCTAAACGGCCGTTAAGGTAAAACGCGGTATTGTACCACATTTTATATAGAAAATATTTTTTTTTTATACTGTAGAAACGTATTTTGAGTCCAAAAAGTTGGGATTTAGGTTTCCGACTCGTGTAAACAGGCTTTTCTTTCTTTCCTTTTTTTTCTTTTTTGGTAAACCATCCAATTTCAGATGCTGCAATTTGTCCTTTGAAGGAGTTTGTTATTAGCCCCACACGACCACACCCAAAATAGAATTTGGTTCTTTTACTAAGTCAAAAATTTGCCCGGCTTATCCCCCAAAGAGATTGGTCTTGGCGGTCTATGTTTTCTGACGGTTTTAGCAAAATACCCCTTTTACACTTTGAACTTCATAATTCTTAAATTTTTAAAGCTTAAAATTTTTATTTCGTGGTGAAAAACAGAAGTTAATGATCGATTATTATTAAAATCGTATAAAAGTTTGTAAGTTATATTTAAAACACAGATTTTGATAATTTACTATAAAAAATTTTAAACTCCATTTTTGAACATTAGAAAGTATTGAAGAAGATAAAGTAGTCTTTTTGATTTGGTGTTATTTAATTAAATTGGTGACTTGAGATTGTATATATTGGTATTTAAATTTGAGATCATTTGGAATAAATTTTGGGTGATATAATTGAAATTGAAATTACAAATTCAAAGGACACTTTGTTAAAATAATCCAAAAAAGGTATGTCAATCGGGTAGGCTTTAATAAAAAACTTAACAATAGGTAGAGAAAATATAGCATCAACTCTACCAATCCAGTAAAAAAAAAATCTTGAAGAGCAGCAGTATGACAATCGAGACGAATAACTTAATGATAGGTAAAGTAAAAATAGCATCAACTCTACCAATCCGGTAGAGAAATCCTGAAAAATAAAATATGACAATCAGGTAGCTTCGATGAACAATTTAATCCACAAAACCATTAATTTTTTCAAATATCGCTAAGGGCCGGGATCATTTTCCAAATATCGCTCCTGTAACCATAAAGGATCAAGAAACTCATTTTTTCCCCTTCCCATCATTTCCGTCACAATTAAGCTACGTTCAGAAGCTGTATCCATCATGGCTTAAAGGATTGGGCAAAATTACGATGACAAAAATTGTACGTCTTGAATTCAAGAGAAAAGCTTACAAAATCTGATAGCAGGCCGGAAGAGGGTATTGGGAGGCAATTAGAATGACATAAAAACTGATTAACTAGGAGGTTCAGAATAAGACTACAGGGTATCCAACTGCTACGGATTACAATGTGAAACTAATTTTTGCACTTCTTCTATCTCTGGCTCTACATCTCCAATTGGTGTCCTTCGCAACGCCTGCAGTAACACATAGAGTTCAGTGTCTCATTGCAGGGATCATCATATATATCAACAAATTTCAGTTAGTTCCAGATATTTCACTAGCAAGGGAATTTAAAAGGCAATTTAGTTAAAAAGCTAAGTATCAGGAACCCAACATATTTCATAAACAATTCATGGTCAACAAAAAGATGAAGGATCGATATCAAATAACAGTTGGCAAGGTTATAGATGATTCATCAAAACGTTTACATATCAATCAATGAACTAAGTCTTGACCCAGAATTAGTGGGATCAGCTTTATACATTTAGATGCCATAAACTTGAAAAAACAAGATAGATGGAGAAACTGCGAAGACACCATGCTAATCATTTTTGAGAGAAAGACACCATGGTAATCATTAACATATTCATTTTTATGAAAAGGAATGTTTACTCACATTGATAGCAGTCTTATAACATGATAGATAGAAACTGCAACGACACCATGCTAATCATTTTTGAAAGAAAGACACCATGGTAATCATTAACATATTCATTTTTATGAAAAGGAATGTTTACTCACATTGACAGCAGTCTTATTACTAACCCGAATCCACCAGAGAATATATAATTATATCTAGTGTTTTTTATGGCTAAAAGATAAATTTATCAATCAACAATCAACTTCGAGATCATCAGGGTTCTTATTCCTTTGATGTCAGCTAGATGGTGTATGTCCTAACTAGTGAAAATTAAGGAAAATGTATAACAATATCAAATGATGATATGACTGAACGTCAAGGTTCAGTTGGCCATTTGACAGCTAGATGGTGTATGTCCTAACAAGAATTCCACACACTAATTTCAGTATTTGGGTGGCAGAGAACATCAATCAACATTACCATGCTTTTCATAGTCAACTTCATGCACTTTTTTGCATATATAGAAACTGACACAAACATTAACTACCAAGAGACCACTGATTATATGCTGATTAGGATGAACTTCCTTAGAACTAAGCGTTCTCTGAAATATCCCATCAAAGCCCCAAACTGAAAAAATGTTTTTATCTCAAAAGACTATTAACATTGAGGAATCAGCCTTTCATTCTCTATAACAGAATCCTCGTAATGTAAATTTATCAACTTGGATCATCATAACAAAACTAACAGTAAAACATGGGGTCACCTCCTTTTAAAGGCAAAAAGTCCTAAATTTTACTCCTTTGACTCAGCTCTTTCCAGCATT